TATTTTTAAAATTTTTTGTAGAGATGGGGGTCTGTGTTGCCCAGGCTTATTTCTATAGTTTTCATTAAATTCTGTAGCCAAATTAGTAACCTACACATCAAGATTTCTTTTTTTTTTTTTTTACAAGATTTATATCATATTCTATATAATACTGTAATACTGTCCTTGTTAAGATGTATATCATATAGGGGTACATGATGTGTTGGTTTTAAACACTGAGACTCCCAAACATTATTTTTGAGCATCTGAAGCCCAGGAAGGGCGTTTGCCAAGGTCCCACAGCTATTCCAAGGATGAATGGAGTTAGCACTCTGGTCTTCTGAAAGAGAGCACCATTTCCACTATGCTGAGTGCTTCTCATTTGTATGTTCTTTGGATGAATAGAGGAATTTTGCTTTCATAATTTCAGATCTGTTGGGCAGCAAATATAATAGTACATTATAATTTCAGACTCTCATGTGTCTAATCCTAGCACTTTGGGAGGCTGCAGTGGGAGGATTGCTTGAGCCCATGGAATTTGAGACTAGCCTGGGCAACATAAGGAGGCCCCATCTCTACAAAAAATAAAAAATTAGGCATAGTGGCACATGCCTGTAGTGCCAGCTACTGTTGGGTGGGGCAGATCACAGGCCAAGATGAGAGGATCGCTTGAGCTTGGGAGGTCGAGGCTTCAGTAAACTCTGATCACACCACTGCACTCCAGGCACCACACTGCCTGGGTGATAGACTGAGACCTTGTCTCAAAAACAAACAAACAAACAAACAATGAAGTGTTGAAAACAAAAACCAATTACATATGCAAGGAAAGGCATATATTTGTAAAACTATCTTAAGTACAAAATATCTAGATTCCAAAGAAATAATGATTTTTTTTCTCTTGCAGACCACTTTACTTGCATTGTGAAGGTACTTTTTACCCTACTGTACACACAGGCTCTTGCAGAACTCTCAGTTAAATGCAGCGAAGAAGATAGGTCAGCCTGGAAACACGCGGGAGCTCTCAAAAAGGTAAGTCTCTTTCTAAATTTGTGATTTAGCAGGTAGGTGAAGTCATTTAAGCTGGGGATATTGAGTAAATAAGAGTAGGTGTTACAAAATGAGTTACTGGTATTTTAATTGTAAATTGAGCACCTACAGGCTCAAAAACGTTGAAAATGTTTTCGCTGAACAATGAGGCCTTCTGTATCTG